TGAGATTTGGGAATTTTCTCATTTTATTAATAACAATTAGCATAAAAATTTTATATTAAAATGTCGATCATTTCTCCGATTCATTCGCGAATCAGCAATATAAGCAATTAATTACAATTACTACAATTAATACAACTAATGTTATTATTATTAAAAAATATTTGATTTTTTTAAGAGAACAAATGTATAAATCTTGATAATTTAAGGAGCATAGGAGCTTGTGAGCAAAAGCTAAAAGATGAACATATAGTGAACCTATGTGTCACATGGATAGATATGGGAATGAATCAAAAGTATTGATGCAGTGATACTAATGAAAAGGGGTTTAATGTAGTGTTTGAGAATTTTAATTTTGGTGGCATTTATAATTTTGAATGGATGGATACATAAATAATTTGATGCCATAAATTTCAATCATTCATTCCAAATTTAATTTGTGCATTTTGAATGCCATGATTTGGGATTTGGGTAGCATGTATAACGCGAAGTACTAACCGTTATAAAAGATACTGGGGATCGAAAATCTTTCTAAACTAGGTTACTTCTAAAAACATCTCAATTTTTGTGTCCTCCCCCTCATTTCGCACCCTGTTTACAATTAGCAAGATATTAATATTAAACAAATATTACATAATAATAATTCAAAATTTTTCATTGTCCCTTCGATGTAGATCATCGCAGGAAAATTTCAATCGATGATCTACGCCCTTTTAAAGTAAAGCAACTCATTCCTATTACTATTATAAAGCTATAAAGCTTCTGCACTGTAACTGCAAAAAATTTTTGTAGATGTCACGAATTACTAAATAACTAAATGTTATAGTTAACTGAAGAAAAAAACATAAGTGCAAACAAATTGAATTAGTATTAACCATATAAAATCCAGAGGCCAAGAAAAGAATGAGTTCATACTACCTTTTTGATCCCTGAAATTTCTATTCCATACAGCGCACAAAATTTTTTCTGAAAATTGTATGATCGTCGGAAATGAGAAAATCAAAGTAGCTTTTGTGTAGATTTATTATTATTTATTATGTGAATCATACTATATAATTTTTTCTGGGGGGGATGCGAAAGAAAAAATCAGAATATTTATTTAATCTTTCATTCTTTACATAAAAATTTTTTCCCTCCTAAAAATTAAATTTAATGAAAAACTAATATATCATAGAATAATTGTTGAAATCTTTCATCATGAACATTGAACATTTATTAAACAAGGAAATTTCAATTTACTTGTCATCTTCTGAATCAGCAACAACCTCTACTATTAGAAATGATTATAATAATAATGTTTCTACTATGAGTATAAATTCCTCAAATGACAACAATGAAAGCAAATCCGCTGATGAAATTAAGAGTAAAGCAGTTACAACAGAAGAAGTTAAAGTCAAACCAGTTGAATCACAAAAAAACCTTGAACTGAATGATAGTTCAATAGTGGTATGTAATATTATACATATACATACATATACATATACTCTATCTTATATATAAATATTTGTTTTATTAATTTTTAATTCATTTATAAAATTTTTTCCAAGAAATTAAAAACTTACCAATTCAAATCAAATCAAAATAATTTGTCACTTTATAAAAATATTCAAGAACATAATGTTTCAACCACCTCTATCAATAATAAATTTGGTAATTTTAACACTACTGATATCAACACTATTGCTCATGTGAATGCTTTTAATCTTGAATCTAATACTGCTGCTGCCAAAACAACTCCAATCACTACTACTGATGATAAATCTAATACAGCATATACTGTAATTAATGCAAATAATCAAATAGACGATAATTCAAATAGAATTAGAATAAGAATCACATCAAGAAATGATTTAAATAATGTGTCATCATCAACGCCTAATATTAATATTCAAAAAACATCAACTTCATCAGCATCACAATCTAAAAACACTCCATCAAAAGCGACATCAACTTCATTATCAAAAGTCGTGGCATCACCAATTTCATTACCCAAAATCACTACATCTAAAACATCAACTTTTTCATCATTCAATACTTCTACATCTAAATCATCTGCAACTTCATCGTCCAAATCTATTACACCTAAAGCATCTCCAATTTCATCATCTAATAAAATAGCACCAATCCCATTCAATATGACAACTAATAAATTTGATTATAATGATATTAATGATAATAGTACAGCCAAGCATAGTCAAGCAGATTATGGATCAACTGCACCATATGAACCAATTGAAAACACTAATGTTAGACAACAACAACAAAAGACTAAAACTACTGCTGTTTCTGGCACAGCAAAAAAAGCTCAAACCAATCGTAATAAATCACAAAATCAAACTACAAGATCAAATAAAATTCAGGAAAAATCTGAAACTAAAAAAATAACCGAACATAATGCTCCAGACACTTCTGATTCATCAACTACTCTTGATAGTATGGATATAGTGAATTCAAATGACTCTGCTACAGGTTCTTCATCAGAGTCTGATAGTGATAATGATAGTCTTGAAGAACAGATTAAACAAAAAATAACAATTGATTATATGGTTGAATTGCGTCAACGTACCAGAAATATTATTTCTGAATATGATAAATGTCAAAAAGTAAGGAATAAATAAATAGATAAATTAATTAATTAATCAATTATCAATTATTATTTATTATCTTATTAATAAATTTTATTTAGATAAAAATAGATAAATTCCGTGAACTATACACAGCAAGACTTAACAATAGAAAGAATAAAAAAGATACTATACATAGAACTAAAACTAAAAGAGGCATTCAAAAAACTAAGGGTAAAATTGAAAAGAAAAAAGCAACACGTAAACTAAAAGTTGAATCAAATGATTTTACTATGGAGGTTGAGGTACATAAATATGCATAGATATATATTTATTGTCAATATTAAGAATATATTGTATGTTTATTCAATCAATCAAATTATTATTATTTCACAATATGTAGGAAAAGGATAAGGAACAAAGACGAACTAAGCAAAAAGAAAAATTTGAACTAGCTGAAAGACGTAGAATTTGGAAAGATATAGCTCGTAATGCGATTCCAAAGGTTGTTATTATTTCATTAAATGAATTGATAAATTTATTTTTATATTTTGGACAATGTTATTAATCTAATAAACTATCCAACAGGTTCACAAAATTGTTCAACAATCTATCAATTCAAGGATTAGTAATTGCAGAAAAATTGCCAATTGTGTAAAAAGAGAAGCAATAAAAGGAGTTCAAAAGTCCTCAAAATCTCAAAAAGATATTCAATCTAAATGCAGACAAGCTATGAGACAGGTTTCATTTTTTAAAAAAATAGATATATATATATATAATATAAATCATCCTTATTATATTTAAAATAAAATTTTTCCTTATATAGTCATTAGGTTTTTGGAGGAAAAATGAAAAAGAAGAACGTGAATGTCGTAAGAAGGCTGAAAAAGAAGCTATGGAAAAATTGCGTGTTGAAGAAGAAATGCGAGAAGCCAGAAGACAAGCACGTAAACTTAATTTCCTTATAACTCAAACTGAATTATACAGTCATTTTGTTGGTAAAAAGATAGGAAGTAAGTATTTTTCCCATCATATCTATTTTATTTTATTTTTTTTAAATAGTTAATAATAAACGGCAATTTCTATAAATTTTTTTGAAGCACATATAGCAGAAGAAACAACTGAAACAACATCAGCATCTTCTGGAACTATTGAATCAGCATCTTCTTCATCAATTGCTATTACAACTAATCTAACAATTGGTGATATTGATCTTAATGCTACTAATGATCAACTAGTTGAGTCTTTCAAAGATATTAATTTTGATAACGAGGATGAGTCTTCGTTGAAAATGAAGGCACTTGCAAGTGCACAAAATGCACTTGCTCAAGTTAAACAACATACACAAAACTTTGATAACAATAGAATAACGAACAGATCTACCGATATGACTGTATCAAATGCTGATCGTAAGCAATTTATATAATTAATGTTTACTTATTTTATTTTTCCTATTCCACTAAATTTTCCTATTGATCATTTATTTTTACTAGTTGATAACATGAATTTCCAAAATCCTTCTAGTATGCCATCAATGGCTGAAATTAAACAACCAAATTTACTCCAGAATTGTACATTGAAAGAATATCAATTAAAAGGATTAAATTGGTTGGCTAACCTTTATGAACAAGGTATCAACGGAATTTTAGCTGATGAAATGGGCCTTGGAAAAACTGTTCAATCTATTTCATTGATGGCATATTTAGCAGAATCACAAAACATATGGGGTCCATTTGTAGTTGTAGCCCCTTCATCAACTCTTCATAACTGGGAACAAGAAATCGCTAGATTTGTTCCTGATTTTAAAATCTTACCGTATTGGGGGAAATCTGATACTCGTAAAGTGTTAAGAAAAACATTGAACAAGAGAAACATCATTTTTAACAAAGACGCTTCTTTCCATGTTGTCATCACTAGTTATCAACTGGTTGTACAAGACAAGTCTTATTTCGAAAAAACAAAATGGCAATACATGATTTTAGATGAGGCACAAGCTATTAAAAGCAGCTCGAGTGCTCGTTGGAAAACATTGCTTGGTTTTCAATGCAGAAACCGTCTTTTATTAACTGGTACGCCAATACAAAATAGCATGCAAGAATTATGGGCTTTGTTGCATTTCATCATGCCAACTCTTTTTGATTCTCATCAAGAATTCAGTGAATGGTTTTCTAAAGATATTGAAAGTCATGCTGAAAACAAAGGGTCATTGAATGAGTTTCAACTCAAAAGACTACACATGATTTTAAAACCATTCATGTTACGCCGTGTTAAGAAAACTGTTCAAAATGAACTTGGTGAAAAGATTGAGAAAGACGTTTTTTGTACTTTAACTGCTAGACAAAGAATGTTATATCGTGGTTTAAGGGAAAAAATTTCAATATCCGAGTTGTTGGAACATGCAGTCACTTTATCTGAAAATGATACTAGTGTTGACAGTTTAATGAATTTGGTTATGCAATTCCGAAAAGTTTGTAATCATCCTGAATTGTTTGAAAGGGCAGATGTTACAGCTCCGTATTCTTTCTGTTCTTATAGTAACACCTGTATGATCTCTCGCGAAGGTGATAAACTATACCTACCATATTCAACAAAAAATTTGATAACATATCGACTTCCAAAACTGGTTTATCGCGGTGGTGCAATGTTGGATGTTCCTGGTAAAAATTCAAATGCTGGATTCCGTAAATACGTTCTTGATCACTTGATGAATATCTGGTCACCTGGTCATATCCACGAATCAAGTAATGATGATGGTAAAGATGATAATTAATAATCCTATGATTCTGTTATTTTATATATAGTTATTTGTTTTATTATAAATTACTAATAATTTTAATCTAAATTTATATATGTTCTTATATAGATGCTTTTGGATTTTTAAGATTTATTGATAAAAGTCCTTCAGAGGCATCTTCTATTTACTTTAGTAACACTATTGAAAAATGGTTGATTCATCTTTTAAATTATAAAAAAAATGCATATAGAATGGCGTACTTGACCAATGAAAATTTTAAAAGGTTTATTTTTAAGCAATTTATATTTTTTAATAACTATCCGTCAATTAATTGTAGATTTCTATATATTTTTTAATAGTTATCCAACTGTTCATAATGCAAGATTTTTGATTAATGAAACTTCTACTCTCTCATCGGCAAATGTTGAGGATTCTGATATTTTAACTGCATTAACAACCATATTTGAACGTATTACAAAATATGAAATTCAATTCCAAGATCCAAGCTACATGCCAAAAGTAATGAAAATAATATGAATATTTTTTATTTGGAAAATTACAAACTAATTGACATGTTTGTATATACGTAGGTTATTGCACCTCCTATTCAAATAGTTTGTCACGATAAGTGTTTTTATAATGATCAAGAACGCATCTTTTTTGAACCAGCAATCAGAACATCACTTACTGGTATTATCAAGTTATTACCTGGAAAAGAAAGAAAAATCAATCTTGTTGGACAATATTTAGAACAAACAGGTAGTCAAGGTATTTATGGCCAAACATACTTTAAAAGTCAAGGTATCTCTTACATGCAAATCCCAGGTAAGATATCTATTTTGTTAAACTTACTATTGATTTTCTTATTTGAAAAAATTTTCCTTCTAATAAGGACTGTGTTGGTTATATTTAAGCTATGAAAAGGCTTATTATGGATTCTGGAAAATTGGCAACTCTTGACAAACTTTTGGAAGAGTTGAAGGCAGGTGGACATCGTGTATTAATCTATTTCCAGATGACTCGTATGATTGACTTGATGGAAGAATATTTGGCTTACCGTCAATACAAATATTTGAGGCTTGATGGATCTTCCAAAATTTCTGACCGTCGTGATATGGTAGAAGATTGGCAATCAAGGTAATATAATTGACTATTTTTTACATATATATACACATTAATTAATGATTTACTGGCTTTATTTGTTTGTTAACACTTATTTATATAATTTATAGATCTGATATATTTATCTTTTTATTGAGTACTCGAGCAGGTGGGTTGGGTATTAATTTAACTGCCGCCGATACCGTAATTTTCTATGACAGTGATTGGAATCCTACTGTTGATCAACAGGTATGAAAATAGCGAGCAATTTTTTTTAACCCAACAAATCATTCAAATCATACAAATCATACAAATCATAATAATTGAAATTGTAAATTGAAATAATATTAATTTACAATAACTTATTCCCTTGGAAAAGGCTATGGATCGCGCACATCGTCTTGGTCAAACTAAACAAGTAACTGTTTACAGGCTCATTACAAAAGGCACAATCGAAGAAAGAATTTTGCAACGTGCAAAACAAAAGGATGAGGTACCTTTATATGTTCCTAATTTTATTTATATTTTTCATCAATACGTGTTAATTGACTAATTCGATTATAATTAAATAGATCCAACGGGTTGTTATTTCTGGTGGTGAATTTAAACAAGTTGATTTCAAGCCTCGCGAAATCGTTTCTCTGCTTCTTGACGATGATGAACTCGAAGCTAAACTTCGTGAACAACAATTAAAGCGAAAGGCTGATAATACCGCAACCACCACAACTACCAAAAAAGGGCGCATATCAAAACGTCCTAAGAAAAAATCAGATTCGGAATCACAAGAGGTAGTGCAACCACAACCTTCAAAAAAGAAACCAGTAACAGAAGAGGAAAAAGAGGATGTCACGACAAAGATACGGCGTACAACTAGAAGCAGTTCAAAAAAATAAGGAGTGGAAGAGATGTAACGGCTAGAAAGCCCTGATTTTTTTGAGTAATAAACATAGATCCTTACAATTAATTGGAAATTTATTTTTGGCTCGGCTTTATTTTTATGCAAGAAAAATTCATAATATTGAATTTCTAAACAAAAATTAAAGTTGACAATTTTGGATTGGTCGAGTTTATAACAAATTTGGATACGGCCTCTCACGTGACTATTAATTAAAAAAATTTTTCTGTTCTCTATGATGATGATGATAATAATAATAATAACAATTATCTATAATGATCTTGCTTTATAACGACTGAGAGTTTAAGCCCAATTTATATGCCCCATATTAATATATAATTAATTACTGTCTATAACAGATTTGTTGACATTTTTCGTAAGCCAAATGGTCTGTGAACTGTATACTTGTTGAGGAGAGCCTTTTTGTGAAATTTCAAGTTAAATTAATATACTAGGTCGATAAAAAATGTGTTAAGGTTCATAAAAATAGTTTCTAATAAATATAAATAATAAATTCAATGTATATAATTATATAAAAACCATCTTGGACAAAATATTTATCACTTTGCTTAAAATGACTTTAAAAGTGACATTTAAAACCAATTTAAAGCCAGTTTAAACCTAGTTTAACTCTGGCAGTAAAGAAAAAAATTTTTTTTGACAAGTTTACAGATTCTAGTTAAGTTGATGAGTAAAAACATAGGCAATTACATCATTACATAGCATCTATTATTATCAGGTATTGTTTAGTTGGGTTACTTTTATCTTGTGCTGAACTATGTATGCAATTTTCTGATTCATCAAAAAATCAAGTGTTATAATTATGCAGCAAAAGTAGATGATTTCATATTCATTTCCAAAATATATTTTCAATACAACTCAAGAGGATACTTCATTATCATATGTGGCATGCTTGAGGTTCTTTCATTTAAATATGCTCAATTGATTGATCGCCTCAGCAAAACTGAATGAATAGGGCCAGATGATCATTACAGTACTTATTCTTCAACTACTTGGGTTCAATTTGAACTTTTTTTGAACTTGAACTAGAGATGTGCCATGTATAGTAACCCTGATTTTTTTTCATGAATAGTGCACATAGTAGTGCATAGTAGCACATAGTGTATAATGAAACTATTTTTGAAAAAAAATAAGTAGTTTTGGCCAATACTACATACCCAATATTTTTTATACATAACAACAATCATATAATAAATATTTAAATCAACTTTAGTTTAAAAGACTTAAAAATAATTTTGTCCAATTTCCACTATTATTAAATCAGTTTCGCCCAAGCTTAGGCCAAATAAATTCAGCAATTTCAACCTATATACATATAGGTAGTTTTGGCTACCATCTGGCACTTAACATAATTATGGCCATAATATGAACACAGATGACATGGTTTTTTGAAACCTACTCCAGATCAGCATAGATAAAAATCCTTTTATGTATAGATCGGCGTTACACGCATTTAATAGACAGTTCAAAAAAAGATCAACAATTTATATGTGAAGAGTATGGTTGCTTGCCAAAACTCCTCTGGCAGAGTTTTGGCAGGTAACACACTAATTGTTTGTTAGAGTTTTGGCAGAGTTTTGCATTTAGGGATTTTGACAATTGGCAGAGTTTCAGCAGGTTACACACTAATTGTTTATTAGAGTTTTGGCAGTCATTAAGAGGTTTTGGCAAGCAACCTTAGTGAAGAGTATTGTAAAATTGAAAAAGTACCACTTAGAAAAATGGCGCTGCACAGACTATATAAAACCACCTCAAAATTTGCACAAATGTTCTCTTATTATTGTTCTTTCCTGAGCAGAAAATAACTTTTCCTGAACTGGACTTGAATTTTTACTTTTATTAATAACAAAGTTGCTCTAAATAGTGATCACAATCATCATATTCATGAATATTCATTAAGGGGGTTACACTTAGGGATAGCATAATGGACATTCGTTTATCACATAGTGACAAAATTGAATGCAGATCTTTTTTATGCTGTGCAACAGCGTATTTTCAATTGTTTTAAAATAGAAAAGGCTGGTTATAACACGGGTGATTAAAAACTACTTGTAAAACGATGATGTTTTGCTTGAATATACTTTTTGTTAGTTAAAAGGCTTGGACAAAAAGATCAAGGGAGATCATTGATTTTGAAGGATTTCAATATGTACCGAATTTTTTCAATTTTATAAACATAATTTTATACAAAAAATAAAAAAAATATTTATTAATCTTGAAAGGTAATTCTCAAAGAAAAACAAACTAGATTATAAACTAATATATAGACAGGTAAAGAAATAATATATATAACATACACATATTTACACACATATATATAAACTATTATTAAAACAACTATTTTTTTTCATTATTTCAAAGATGACAATTCTCAAAGAAAAACAAAACTGGATTATAAAATAATATATATTATATACATATATATATAACTATTATTAAAAAATTATTTTTTTATTATTTCAAAGATGACAATTCTCAAAGAAAAACAAAACAAAACTGGGTTATAAAATAATATATATTATATACATATATACAGTGTGTTAAGAAAAAAATTGGCCTCCGGTGATATAAAATTTAAAATGCATAATTTCCAGCATAGCGGACATTTGAATTTGTCACATGTGACAAAATCGATTGGCGATCTTTTTTATATTGTGTGACCGTTCGAATTCAATTATTTAAAATAGAAAAAACATGTCATAAATAACATGATCAAAAATAGTTGTAAAACCCAAAAAATATTTTGCAATAATATACCTTTCGTTGGAAACTTTATTTTGGTTAAAAATAATCCCGTTAATCCCGCAAACTGCAAGATCTCATTATGAACCAAAGATTTCAAATTTTATATATAAATTTATCAAGGTGCGCAAAAATTTTATTTTTTTATTTTGAAAAAATATAAAAATATACATATAATATTTTTAATTATTGATTCTAATGCCTTTGTTTGTTATAGAGAGTGTTATAAGATGTTCATTATAAAGAAAAATTAATTAATTATAAAAAAAGAAAAGGGAAGCTTCATTATAGAGAGAAGTTAATTACAAAAAAATGAATCAGAGACAAAAGAGGAGTTCATTATAGAAAAAGTGAACTGTAGACATTATGTGATTTGTTGATTACATGAAGGTAGTTAATTGTTTAAATTTATGCATGCAAAAATATATATATTATCATTTTTTTTTATTTTTTTTTTATTCTTTTGATTCAATTATAAGACATATAATATATACTGAATACAATTTTTTTATTACTGTACACAGATGTTATATAATTTGTTAATTACATGAAAGGATTTCAAAAGTTAGTTGTTCTAAAAAATCTTTAAATTTATACATACATACATACATACATACATACATACATACATACATACATACATACACTTCCTGGTCATAAATATAAGGACACTTGCAGATCATCAGAAATAATTGAATAAAGAAACATGAAAAAAAAT